ATAAAATATTTAGGAATTAACCTAACCAAAGATGTAAAAGAACTATTTAATGAGAACTATAAAAAGTTAAAGAAAGAAATTGCAGAAGACACTAGGAAATGGAAAGACCTCCCATGCTCCTGGATAGGCCGACTTAATATAGTAAATATGGTAATACTTCCAAAACTAATATACAAATTCAATGCAATTCCTATTAAAATCCCAATGACGTACATCACTGAAATACAGAAAACAGTCCAAAAATTTATATGGAACAACAAAAGACCTAGAATAGCCAAAACAATTCTAGGGGATAAAGACAATATGGGAGGGCTATCCATGCCGAACTTCAAACTCTACTACAGAGCTATAATAACAAAGACAGCATGGTACTGGCACAAAAACAGACCCGAAGACCAATGGAACAGAATAGAAGATCCAGAAATAAATCCACAGGCCTACAGCCAGCTGATATTCGACAAAGGACCCAAAGACATACAATGGAAGAAACACAGCCTCTTCAACCACTGGTGCTGGGAAAACTGGGCAGCCACATGCAGAAAACTAAAAGTGGACCCCAGCCTATCACCATGCACCAACATCAACTCAAAATGGATTAAAGACCTTAACATTAAACCTGAATCTCTGAAACTACTGCAGGACAGAGTAGGAGAGACACTTGAACTAATAGGCACAGGAAGGAACTTCCTGAACAGAGTCCCAGGGTCACAACAAGTTGGAGAGAGACTCGACAAATGGGACTACCTTAAAATAAAAAGCTTCTGCACAGCTAAATCTATCGCAACTAAGCTAGAAAGACAACCAACTAATTGGGAAAAAATATTTACCAGCAATATATCAGACAAGGGGTTAACATCCTGTATATACAGGGAACTCAAGAAACTAATCCCTCCCAAACCTAACAAACCAATTACTAAATGGGCAAGGGAACTAAAGAGGGACTTCTCAAATGAAGAAATAAAAATGGCAAAGAAACACATGAGGAAATGTTCATCATCCCTGGTGGTGAAGGAAATGCAAATAAAGACAACCCTGAGATACCACCTTACCCCAGTCAGAATGTCCCACATCCACAAATCAGCCAACGACAAATGCTGGAGGGGATGTGGAGAAAGAGGAACCCTATTACACTGCTGGTGGGAATGTACACTTATACAACCACTTTGGAAAGCAGTCTGGAGGGTCCTTAGAAAGCTAAAGATTGACCTCCCTTACAACCCAGTCATACCACTTCTAGGCATCTACCCTGAACAACAGGAACCAATATACAAGGACACGTGCACCTCCATGTTTATTGCAGCACTGTTCGCAATAGCTAGGATATGGAAACAACCTAGGTGCCCCACCACAGATGAATGGATCCAAAAATTGTGGTATCTATACACAATGGAATATTATGCAGCCATTAGAAATGACAAAATAATGGCATTTGCAGGGAAATGGATGGAGCTAGAAGGAAGGAATCATGTTGAGCGAGGTAAGCCAAGAATGAAGAGACAAACGGTACATGGTCTCCCTGATAAGTGGATGCTAAATCCAAAAGGTTAGGTGATACAACAAAACTAACAGGAGTTAAGAAACAAAGAACTCCCGCTCATCTGGTTGAACCACTACTAAATATCCCCATGCTGCTGATCACAAATATGGTATATAACATGTGAACACTGTTATATATTACAGACTGTGATAGACAATTTGCTCCAGGAAAGTTAGAATGAACTTGTGACTTTGAAACTATGTAATCACTTAATCACAATCAAAAAAAAAAAAAAAAAAAAAAGAACCTCGGGGAAGGGAGGGAGGGAGGGGATGGTAGGGGGAAAACAATGGAGGGGGTAACAATGTTCAAGAGGAAGTGTACTCATTACCTCACTCATGTAACTGTAACCCTCTGTATAGTATCTTTACAATTAAAAAAAAAAAAAAAAAGAATGACATTGCCCCATTTGTTAGGAAATGGAAAGACTTGGAAAAAATTATATTAAGTGAAGTAAGCCACAGACTCTTATACAATACTTTTCATGTCTTAAAGAAAAATACCACATTGAACATGGCGCCGGTGGCTCACTCCTGTAATTCTAGCCACTCAGGAGGCTGAGATCTGAAGATCCTGGTTCAAAGCCTGCCTGGGCAGGAAAGTCTGTGAGACTCTTATCTCTAATAAACCATCAGGAAAACGGAAGTGATGCTGTGGCTCAAGTGAAAGTGCTAACCTTGAGATGAAGAGCTGAAGGACAGTGCCCAGGCCGAGTTTAAGCCCCATGGCCGACAAAACAAACAAACAAAAAAACCTACCTCATTGAATGATGGTGTGTAAATTGATAAAATGAGCTCGCCCAGAGTCACCCACAGTAAAGCAGTCAAATGGCCCCTACTTAGCATGAAAAGTATAGCTGGAATTAAAATCTGTTTGTAATTGATAAACCTTAGAAGGTGTATACAATAGGTATGGACTAATTAATCAGAGTGGAAATATAGGAAACAGACCTTAGGTTTAAGCATAAATTCTGGGCTGGGAAGGTAGCTCAGTGGACTAGTGCTTGCCTGGCATGCATGAGGCCCTGGTTTCAATTCCTCAGCATCACATACACAGAAAAAGCCAGAAGTGGGTGCTGTGGCTCAAGTGGTAGAGCACTCACCTTGAGCTGAAGAACTGAGAGACAGTGCCCAGGCCCAGAATTCAAGTTCAGCGACCAACAAAACAAACAAACAAACAAAAAACCCAAATTCATAGAAAACATAAGGAAAATTGGATTGGGTATAGCTTAATGGTAAAGCACAAGTCTAGCATGAACGGATTCAATTCCTAGTGCTGCAAAATCAAAATAAAACAGAACAAGAGAACAAAAAACAGGATAAAAAATTTTTCTTTATTCAGTGAGTAATATAAGAAAACTAAACTCAAGAATGTTCAAAAATAAGGAGAAATAAATTTAGGAAGTAAACTACAACACAGATCAAGAATTTAGAACACAACACTGTGATAAATATGATGAGATACAATATAATATTGGCATTATTTTTGGATGGTACTGAGATTTGAACTTAGCATTTTGTACTTGCTAGGCAAGCACTCTACCACTGCACCCATGCCCTCAGCCCTGTGAACTTTAATTGTGTTTGTGTGTGTTCACTTGTATACATGCAAAGTGCCAGTATTAGGGCTCAAACTCAGAGCCTGGGCACTGATTTTGTTTGAGGCAGTGATTTACCATCTGAGCCAAAATGCCACTTCTGGCTTTTTGCTGGCTTAGAATCGAGATCCTCAGATCTCAGTCTTCTGAGTAGCTACGATTAGAGGTATGAGGCTCAGGGTCCAGCTCTTTTAAGTTTGTTTTTGAGAGTAACTCCATTTTTGCCTAGGCCCATCTCAAACCATAATCCTCTTTACTCTACCTCTCTTATAGTTGGGATTACAGGCATATATTACCACACCTGGTTAATATGGACATCATTCTAAAACAAAGGTCTGCAAAAAGTTTTCTGTAATAAGGCAGATAGACATGTTGAGACAAGTAAGACAAGTTGAAAAGCCAAATAAAAGCCAAGTTAAAAAGTCAAATATGGCATGTTTTTGTTCATGTGTGAAATCTAGACTAAAAATGATGATGCCAATAATAATAAGAAGAAGAAGAAGAAGAAAAAGGAGACTGATTAGACAGAGTGTTAGTGAAATGAGTCCCTTGCCATAGCTTAGTCCACTCCTTCCCTTCTCCACAGCTTAGGATGCTCCCTTCCTAGACAACACTAGGCCCATGTAGTAAAGGCAGTAACTAATCAACTTCCAGCCCCCTTTACCTTGGAATGGCACTTCTCTGGAGAAGCTACCACCATATAAGGCAGCAAGAGCCCCTTAGAGTGACTTCAAGTCTGGGCAGTTACAGGACGCTTATCTACTATTTGGACAGCAGCCATAAATCCTAGTTCACCATGATGAAGCCCTTGGCCCACATGTCTACACCAGGGTCTCCGCCTCCTAGCCCTTTCTAGCCTCTCCTAAACTTCCTAGGTTATATAGGTTACCCCAGACAATAGCCGGTGCTTCTTCTCATTCCTCCCTTGTGAGAAGGAGTCTTGCCAGCCCCCTTTCCCCGCCAATAAACCTTTCTTTGTTCATAGACCACTTATGGTCTGACTTCTGGAGATTAACAATTACTGACAGGTGGACGGGAACACAAGCAAATCAGGACAATGTAAAGGTCTGAGCTTCAGTAGATCTGAAGTGGCTTGTGCTTTTCTACCCAGAATCAGCAGGCTTCAGTCATGTGTTAGAGGAGGGGAAAGGAGAAGGTACATGGGTGAGGAGGATCACTGTACTTTACACATATATGAATATAGCATAGTGAAACCTAGTAAATATTTTTTGATAACAAGAGGGAGGAAGCAGAGATATTTAGGGAATATAAAAGAGGTTGTGAACTTGTTCAAGTACATGTACACATCTATGGAATTTTATACTATACTATGAATGTATACTCATCTAAATAAAACAAGTAAAAAGATAAGTGTTTCAGGCAATTGGGGACCTACAAGGTCTCTGCTGGATTTTCCTTTTTGAAACTCTTTCCAAGCATAACATAGCTTATGGATGCACAAAAAGAAATTGGAGGTCTCTAGTTTGTGAGCCATAGTTTGCAGATTCCTGTATTGTATTATACTATTTAGATACTGTTTGGTAAACTAAATTGGCAGACAGGTAAAGAGAGCAGCACGTGGTATTCAGGCAAGGGAAAAGGTTTGTTTGCAGGCCACCTCAGGTCAAATTGGAAGCCCAAGCAGCAGGAATAAAAAAGGATCAAACCACAGCCTGGCCATGACTTATCAAGGCCAGGGGCGGAAGGTGTGGCCACACTGGATTTGGATGTGACCTTGGGGGTGGGGTGATTGTCTCCAAGTGTGTCAGGTATTGGTGACATAGGACTTAACCAAGAGAAGGAGTCTGCTCCACCTTCCCAGGGTGGACCTTACAGATAATATCACAAAATATGACAAAAACTTACCGTTCTAGTTTTCCAAGTATTTTAACTTCCATAGTTTCTTCAGAATTGCCAATAAAGACAATGCCAATTCTAGAAATTAAAAGAACAATTAGCTGGGCACTCATGGCTGTAACATAAACCATTTAGGAGGCTGAGATCTGAGAATTGGGGCTGAAGCCAACCTTGGCAGAAAGTCCTTCAGATTCTTATCTTCAATTAATGACAAAAAACTGGAAATAGAGGTATGGCTTAAGTGGTAGAATGCCAGCCTTGAATGAAAAAACTCAGAGACAGTACCCAAGTCCTGAGTTCAAGCCTCAGTAGTAACATAAAATAAAACAAAACAACATGCCAATTGTAACTTAACTTCAATGAAGGTATTTTAAATAAAATTTAAAAATGTATTTAAAAATAGTTCCTCTCTTGGGCTGGCAAGGTGACTCAGTGGTTAAGAGTGCTTGCCTTGCATGCATGAGGCCCTGGGTTCCATTCCTCAATACCACATACACAGAAAAAGCTGGAAGTGGGTGTTGTGGCTCAAGTGGTAGAGCACTAGCCTTGAGCTAAAGAGCTCAGGGACAGTGCCCAGGCCCAGAGTTTAAGCTCCATGATGATCAAAAATAAAAAAATATATCCTCTCAATAATTATTATGATTATTTTGGCATTACTAGAGTTTGAACTGAAGATCTTACACTTTCAAAGCAAGCACTCTACCACTTGAGCTATGCTCTAGCTCTTTTAGTTTTAGTTTGGTAGGGTCTCATGCTTTTGCCAGGCCCAGCCTCAGACCACGATTATCCTATTACACCTCCCAAGTAGCTGGGATTATAGATGTGGATAACCACATCTGACTTGTGAATGATTATTACTTTAAAAAACTAAAGATTTAGAATAGGTCAAGACAAGAGAAGTACAAGTACTTTTGTAAATTCTATTAAACAGATTTCATACTAATCAGATGTTTAAAGAATTTTTTTAAAAACCCCAAACTGATTTGTTAAAAAATTTGAATGTGCTTTTTGAGTACTGGAAAATCAAATGACATTACCTTGCAGCAGCCTCCACTAGAGCCTTTTCATCTGGTGAAGATGCATAGTATTCCAACTGGGGGGGTGCCAGGTTGGATTGCCAAGGACCATCACCAATGCCATCAGGTTGAACATTGCTGATCTGTACAGTATGGCAGAGACTGACTGCTTTAAAGAAGAGATCGTGTTCTTTAATCTGTGGAAACACCCATTTGTTGATATGAAGTGTTGTGAAAAACCTCCTCCTTCTCACCCCCTGTCTGGCTGGCCTCAAACTATATTCTCTGATTTCTTCCCAGTAGCTAAAATTATAGGCTTGAGCCAGTGTCCAGTTTAGTAATTTAAAATACCTGAAGCTAGTTGGGCTATGGTGGCTCATGCCTATAATCCTAGTTACTCAGGAGATGAGATCTGAGGATAACAGTTCAAAGTCAGCTTGGGCAGGAAAGTCCATGAGACTCTTATCTCCAGTAAACCACTCAGACAACCAGAAATGGCTCTGTGGCTCAAGTGGTAGAGCGCTAGCCCTGAGCTGAAGAGCTAAGGCACAGGCCCCCCCACCCCCCCCCAAAAAAAATACCCGAAGCTAAATATTTAAAGACAAAAATACCAATGTTGATATTTTGTAGTATTGAGTCAAGGATTTACATTTCAAGTAGTATACTTAATTCTACTCCACTGACAGGTATCTGGCCCTTACAACCCAATCTATCATATATTAAAGAGAGTTAATTCATATGAAACCCTTATTTATTAACTGGAAGTTGCTTACTAGTTCAGTTTCGTTGTCAGGACTGGTCCTAAAAGAGGAACTAGCTGTAAGATGGGATAAGTTGTTAAGATGGGATGAACTACTCAGATAAGATAAGTTTCCTTCTGAAGAGTCTGGTGTTGGTCCTTCAGGTACCAATCTACCATTAATTTCTTGGTATTTCATGCCATTAATTGAACATTCCCGAAACTGCATTTCATTTTCTGTCAGTGTTCCAGTTTTATCTGTGAACACATAGTCCACCTAGAGAAAAAGAAAACTGTGTTCATAGTCTAATCATGAACAACAAAACTTTGTCCTCTGTCACTTGAAGTCTAATTGGCCTATTAACATCAGTGTACCAATAAGGAGATTCTTATAATTAAACCACATAAATGTCAAGGAAACAAAGCAAGACAACACAAAATACAGATACTTTTGAAGTTTATAGCATCATTAGATACATGTTCATTCCTAGAGGTGACTGAAAATGTGGCATAAGAATTTCATTTGTATTATCATTCAAGAATTATCACGAAAGTGGGGCTGGGAAGGTGACTCAGTGATAGAGTACTTGCCTCATATACATGAGGCCCTGAGTTCAATTCCTCAGTACCACATAAGCAGAAAAAGCTGGAAGTGGCGCTGTGGCTCAAGTGGTAGAATGCTAGCCTTGAGCTGAAGAGCTGAGGGACAGCGCCCAGGCCTAGAGTTCAGGCCCCATGACCAAAAAAAAAGTAAAAATTATCATGAAAGTAAGAGTGAAAGGAATATTTAACAACCTAGAAAGTGAAAGGGCCAGGAGAAATGGCATTGTGGCTAGCAGTGAGAACAAAAATATCACCAACACCAAAAGTAGAAGAGGTATTGTCCAAAATAGAAGGAATTCAAAACTAGGTCAATAAATAAGTAGTGAAAAAGGTATTAAAAAGAAAGGAACATATTTTGAAAGGCAGATAAGATTATTTTATTAGTCAAATTTAATTATTTATCAAATTCCAGAAAATTAACTTTAGAAGGTAGGCCTATGAAGAGAAGGATGTCAAAGGTAAAGTCTCAATTCAAGGATTATGAAAGAGCTGGTTACTACAATGATGACTTAAGCAGTCACTTGAAAAGGAGGTAGCTATCACAAACAACAAAAGCCCTACATACAATTGTCCATCATGAATGAATATGTATTAATATATATCTATACCTATCACACAAACTAAGTTCAGAAGCATACAAAATGGGTTGTATCCATCAAGTACATGGGATTTTTCTCCAGAATGCAAAAAAAAAAAAAAAAAAAAAAAGCCAGATGAAGGATTGAGGATTGATGTGTCTTTAATCCCAGCTACTTAGGAGACAAATAAGGAAGATTATGGTTTAAGGAGAATAGGAAAATCACAATAGGGCCAGACTGGGGCAAAAAGCAAGAACCTATTCAAAAAGTAACAAAAGCAAAAAAAGCTTGGAGGTGTGGCCCAAGTGCTATAACTGGCTACTAGCAAGAATAAGGCCTTAAAAATCAAATCCTACTACCAACCCCCAAATCACTGTAATCCACCATATTAATAAAATGACACTTGTCCTTTATTAATAAAGTTAATAGTCCTATTTCACCAGGAGTGAAATACCATGGTGAAAAACCCTTGAACAATTAGCACACACACACATACATACACATACACTCACACACAAATGAGTGCTGGGGAGATCACACCTGTAAATCCTTAGCTACTCAGGAGGCTGAAACCTAGAGGATCTAAGTTGGAAGTCAACACAGACAGAAAAGTCCTCAAGACTTCATCTTCAATTAACCAGCAAAATGCCAGACCAGGCTGAAATGGCAGAGTTTCCACCGTAAGCAATCAAGCTGAGAGTAGAAGGCTCTGAGTTCAAGTCTTAGTATTGGCAAAAAAAAAATACTTTCCTTGAATATAGAGAGATACTACATATATATTCTCAAAGACATCTTTTAGTGGTATACAGAAATTGAGCAAGTGTAAAAACAGAGAAATTAACTCTCAGGGAAAAATAAGTAAAAAGTAAATGTAGTTATAGTATTACAAAAAAATCTGTAAAGAATTAGGAATTAATGAACAGTATTAAAATTGATAACAAATAATTTTAAATTATTATGAAACTATTAAATGCCTAATTATGATATAAAAATATTCAGGGTTTGGGGAAGGAGAGTGAGTGTGTATGTGGGTGGAGTAATGTAATGGCTAAAATTTTAAAATCAGAGAAGAATAGCATGAAGAAATACATTGATAAATACTAGGAATTAGTAGTAACTAGAATATGCTCTGTGAGATTTTCTTTTGTTATGGTGCATATATAATGTATATTAATACTTTGATAAAAACAAAAAATTAGAAAACATTAGAATCATTTCACCTGTCCAAGCTCTTCATTCAGATCAGAAGTATTGACTTGAGCCTTCTGACCTGATTCTTCATGATAGAGATCAAGATCCCAGCCAATAAAAAATGATCCAAGAAATTTCTGCATTTCAACTGTCACATATAATGAAATTGGAATGATAAAATTGTAGAGTACCAAAAAAGCAAGGAAATCAGAAATAAATCTCAGAATCTAGAAACAAAGAAAAATGAAATGATTATTTGGTAAGAGAAAATACTGGATAATTTTCTCCAGCAAGTTTTATGTCTAAATAGACCATCAATTATATTCTGAGGTAGACTAGTTATCATAAATTAACTTATTCAATTGTTTTTCTAATACTTCATGTCCTCTATTTAGAATTTTGACCAAAGTAAAGGAAGAAAAGGTTTGCTTCAAATAATATGTTACATTTTAGAAGTGAAAGTTACCTGGGATGACTGAAACTACCTCTGGCAAAATTATAATTCTACCTTCTGGAGTACACTTAACCATTCTGCTACTATGCTTCAAAACCACGAATAATCAAAGCTGTAACTTAAAATAATTCCAACATAATTGTTAGAAATTGGTACAATTGTGAGAAATGGTCTGAATACAGATTCTACATCAATAGCCTCCCTCAATGTCATAGCAGAGCCACATTATAGTATGCAGTGTGTGGAAGGCAAGGTACCTAACAACGAAAGATACAAAAGGTAGCAGTCCATGTTTATTTCTATGGTCTCCTGAAATATAACTTTCAATATGCATAGTTTAAATTGAAGCTTGGAGCACTATTCTCCAAATTGTAGGTTAAAGTCTCTTGGCAGTCCATATTTAATCAGTTTAAAGCTTTATGCGACACTTATTTTCAAACTAAACCACCAGCAAATCTGGCAGTAAGATTTTATTCACAAAAAATTGTAAAAAAAACCTTATAATTGAAACCATTTGTAAACTATAATAAATGGAACAGAAAGCTGAATCTGTAGTACTGAAGTAAAATTAAACATAGATATGAAATTTGGGGATGTTTTAATTATACACAGAGAATATAGTTGCTTATGCCCTAAAAGCTTACCATTATAAACAGGCTGATTGCTCTTCATTTGCAATATCATTCTGTCAGTATCAATGGTGTGAGGTCACAGTGGCCCCTCCAATCAGAAGATATTAACAAGTATTAGCTGTGCCAAAAATTCATTTATACCATCTATAAACACATACCTTGCTACTATTTCTTTGATGTTCTGTTTTTTGGTTATACCAAGGTTCATCCCATTTTTCTTCAGCTTGCCATGTATATTTCAAGATAGTACTGATGATGGCTTCAGAAATAAGAATTATCAGGTAAATTATCAAAAATGTGTTCATTGACCTAAAGCAAGAAAAAGAGAAAATAAAACATCAGTATGTTATATTTGTTTAAAAATACTTGTATCAGGGCTGGGAAGGTGGCTCAGTGGTAGAGCGCTTGCCTTGCATGCATGAGGCCCTGGGTTCAATTCCTCAGCACCACATAAGCAAAAAGAAAAAAGCTGGAAGTGGTGCTGTGGCTCAAGTGGTAGAGCACTAGCCTTGAGTTGAAGAGCTGAGGGACAGTGCTCAGGCCCAGAGGTCAAGCCCCATGACCGGACCCCCCCTCCCAAAAAAAATACTTGTATCAAGAAGATAGTAAAATATACAAAGTATTATTAGAGCTATTTGAAGGACACATCTTTATTTTCAAGAACTAACCATACAACAAAATCTACTTACCAGCAACAAAAGAACCAATACACGCAGATGTTACAGTAGAGAACAGTTTAGGATACTTATTTTAACTATATGTAATTGTTCCAAAATTTTCAAAGATATTTTCAGGGCTTATCTAATTACAAGTACAGTAAATAAAATTAACATGTGCATGGTATTAAAACCCAATAAAACTTTAGTAATATCAACTTCTTAGAAACCCTGCGAAGAATTTGCTACATCCTTTTTACTGGTAAGTAATAATTCAGACTCCTTTGATCTTCAGACAAGCTAAAGTTTCATGTGACATGTGATATAAAATTTAAAAATGTGAATATTTGGTACAATTTAAAAAATAGTTCCTTATTTAAAACTTTAAATATACAAGCCAGCTGCTGGTGGCTTGTATATATAACCTATAACCTTAGCTACTCAGAAGGTTGAGATCTCAGGATTGCAGTTTGAAGATAGCCCAGGCAGGAAAGTCTGTGAGACTCTTATATACAATTAACAACTATTACTCAGCCTCCTGAGTAGCTAGGATTACAGGCTTGAGCCACTGGTTTCCACTTACTGCTTGCATTTTTTAAAGATGCAAACATCTGATTAAAGGAATGAAAACAACTGGCCTCAGTCCAGATAGCTAATAAGTATATCTAAGTTAAAATCTGACTCCAAATGCCAACCTCTTTACACTTAGCTAGTCATATGTCCTTGTTATTCTGCTACACTGTTTGGTTTATCTCTACCCACTATCTTTGCTCTCGAGTCACTTAATAAACATTCACCTTATGACCTACTTTTAAATGCTTAATTCAAACTCTATCTCCTTTCTGAAGTCTGCCTTAATTGCTATAGTTTTAAATGAATTTTTTACTTAAATTTAAAACTAGTATCATGTAATTGTCATCCAAATTTTCATTGTATATTAGTTTTAACTTCCAACTCCATTGGAAACTCCAGAGAAAAGAAATTGTATCAGTATTTAATTACATTTAGTCAATTCATTCAGTCATGAAACTGCAGAGTAGGAACAATAGGAATAACAATAGTATGGCAAATTTTCTATATTTACTAATGTATTAAGTCTCAGCAAAGCTCCTTTCCCAATATCTACATATTATCACAAATACTCAATTTTATTTACTTTTCATGGTATGTCTGAAAATATGGAACCTTTCATGAATTTGTTCTAAGCCTTTTGCATGGGCAATGCTAATATTCTACATGTTGTAGTAATTTTAATATGTGTGCCAAAGCAGCACACACATATTCAACTCTAAATTTAAAAACAAATTTGGTTATGAAATGTATCATGGAAAATTCAAACACATACAAACAGAACACTATAGTGTACCCCATGTGTCCAATACAACCTCAGTAACTATCAACATTTTATTCTCACTTCATCTATACTTTCTTGCCTTCCAATTATCCCTTTAATTCTTATTTTTGGGCTTCTTTTATCAGTTACAGGCTCATAGGAAGGTATAAAAATAGTACTAAGGTTCCTATGTACTCTTAAGTCTTAATTTCCCCAATGTGACATCTTGCATTTTTTTTTTTTTTGTGCTGGTAATGGACTTGAACTCAGGGCCTTATGTCCTCTCTTCCTCACAGCTCAGTCTACCACTTGAGCCAATTCTCCAATTCTGGCTTTTTGCTCATTAACTAGAGAGTCTTAGGGATTTGTCTGTCTGGACTAGCTTCAAACTGAGATCCTCATATTTCAGCCTCCTGAGTTGCTAGGATTTTAGATGTAAGCCACTTGCACCAGGGTGCTGTTTTGTGTGTGTGCACATGCACAGTCATGGGAAAAATAGAGGACATTGTACTAGGCAGATTCATTACTTCTGAGCTACATCCCAAATTCAATAGTGATATCACATATGGTGGTAGTACAATATTAAAGCTATGAACATGGCAGGCACAGGTGGCTGACACCTATAATCCTAGCTCCTCAGAAGGCTGAGATTTGAGGATCACAGTTTGAAGCCAGCCTGTGTAGAAAAAAAACTGTTAAACTCTCATCTACAATCAACCAACAAATACCCAGAAGTACAGCTGTAAATCAAGTGGGAGAGTGTTAGCCTTAAAGAAAAAAAAAAAAAAAAAAAGCTCAGGGACAGCAGCTCAGGCTCTGAGTTCAAGCCCTAGGACCAGTACAAACAAACCAACCGAAAGCCATGAACAGAACATTAGTACATCAGTGAATTTAACCACAGGTTAATGTTCAATGACAATGTAATGCCATCTATATATTAGGGACCACTCCTAAGAACTGTTCCATCATACAACAGAGCTCTGTTATGTTAATAATGGTTCTTTTTATTTGCATACATTTTTTATATACCCTTGCTTCCTGCAGCAATAATCTATTTTCCATCTCTATATTTTATAATTTTGAAAATGTTATATAACCATAATAATAAAGTATTATCTTTTTAGCTTGAGTTGATAAACATCAAGCTAATGTTCATTCTGATACATGTATTAATAAATCATTTTTCTTGAATAGTATTCCATTGTATACATATACAAGGTTTTTCATCCAACTAGCCACCCATGAAAGGGCACTGGGCTATTTCTTTTTTTTTCTGTAATAAATATAGCTGTTTGTAAATTTTTTTATCAATTTTTACATAAGCATAAAATTTATTTCTCTGTGATAAATGCTCAAGAGTACAACTGCTAGGAGATACAGTTTGTATATTGAGTTTTGCAAGTCACTGCCAAACTATCTTTGATAACAGGTAACACATTTTTCATTCCTATCAACAATGAATAAGAGATTCACTTTCTCTACCTTCTGGCCAGCACTTGGTATATTCCTCTTCTTTTTTTAACTATTATGGGAAGTGTGGAGATAACTTACTATGGTCCTAATTTGCTTTTGTTCAATGAGGCTGATTTTTTTTTTTTACCAGAGATCAATTATTTTTATTTTTTAACTGTTTTTGTGTAGTTGATATACAGAGGGGTTACAGTTACACGAATCAGGTACAATCACTACAATTCTTTTTGAACCATTTTCCCCCTTTGGTTGCTCTCTCCCAGAATCTTTCCCTTCTGTCCTCACCCCATAAGATATCAAGTTATCAAGTTCATTTTCTACATAGTGTCTGTTAATCCTCCCATATACAAACAAAGTAACAAACAACACAAAAGAAAAAGAAAAAAACCAGCAACAATGGCAGCTGAAGAATGTCACTTGTTTCCTCTTTTTGGAGTTCATTTCATAGAATACTATTTTATATGATTATTTGATAGCTATTGAGCTCCTGCCCACTACTCCTATGCTGTTAATGACTGGGTCCTATATAATTTATCATGGTCCAGTTTTATTTGTTTTGGTCATTCAGTGTGTTTACTTGTAGATTTATAGGCACATCTTAGTTACCACAAACAGGGAAACTATGCAGCCTATGTTTCTTTGGTTCTAGCTTCCTTTGCTTAATATATTTTCCAAGTCTTTCCATTTCCTTGCAAATGATACAATATCATTCTTTCTGATGGATGAGCAGAATTCCATTGAATATGTATGTCTCACACACACACACACACACACACACACACACACACACATTCAATGGAATTCTACTCATCCATCAGAATGTGTATACATATATATATATACATATATATATATACACACACACACACACGCACACACATACATATATATGTGTGTGCGTGTGTGTATATACATTTTCTTGATCCATTTGTCCACTGAGGGACATGTAAGTTGATTCCATATCTTGGCTATGATAAATAATACTGCAATAAATATTATTGGTTGTGCTGGTGGTTTTAGTTTGTACTGGTTTATAGTCCATTGCCCAGGAGTGGAATTGCTGGGTCACAGGGAAGCTCTATGTTTAGTCTTTTAAGGAACCTCCCTATTGCTTTCCAGAGTAGTTGAACAAGTTTACATTCCCACCAACAGTGTAATAGGGTTCCCTTTTGGCCACATTCCTGCCAGCATTATTGTTAGTTTTCCTGATAATGGCCATTCTAACTAGAGTGAGGTGGAATCTCAATCTTGTTTTCATTTGCATTTCTTTTATGGCCAGAGATGTTGTACACTTCTACTTTTGCCTATCAGCCATTCTTTTTTCTTTCTCTTTAAGTCATTAGTCCATTAGGTTTTTGAGGGTTTATTTTTTGTGAGTTTAATTTTTTGAGTTCTAAGTATATTTTGGATATGAGGCCCTTGTCTGATTTATAGCTAGTGAAGATTTTCTCCCATTCTGTGGGCTTTCTATTTATCTTGCTATCTATGTCTTTTGCTATAATCCCATGCATCCAGCTGCTCTTTGATTCATTGTGATTCTGGATTTTTATGAAGTTTCACCCTGAACCTAGAAGGCTTAGGGTTTCCTCTACCTCTTCCTGTAATATTTCACAGTATCTGGTCTTACACTGAAGTCTTTGATCCATTTAGAGTTGATTCTGGTACAAAATGATGAAATATGGTATCTATCTTCAGTTTTCTGCATGCAGATAGTCAATTTTGCCAGCACCGTTTGTTGAAGAGGCTGTCTTTCTTCCAACCTGTGTTTTTGGCTCCCTTATCAAATAGTAAGTGGCTATAGGTTTGTGGGCTTATTTCTGGGTCTTCAATTCTGATCCATTGGTCCTCAGGCCTATTCTTGTGCCAGTATCAAGCTGTTTTTATTACTGTGGCTTCTTAATAAAGCTTGAAGTTTGGTATCTATATTCCTCCAGTGCTATTCTTCCTGCTAAGGATTATTTTTACTATTCTGGGCTTTTTATTATTCCATATGAACACTTGGATTGCTTTATCTATTTCTTTGTAGAAAGTTGTTGGGATTATGATGAGTAGTACATTGAATCTATATAATGCTTTGGGCAGAATTACCATTTTTACTATGTTAATTTTCCCCAGAAGTTGAGTATTTTTTATGTGCGTATTTGCCATCTGCAGCTCCACTTTAGTGAAATGTATATTCACAAATTTGGCTTATTTTTCATTACCTCTTTGGGTTACTATTTGCTTTGGAAGTTTGTAGTTCAGAAACTAGTGCCTCTTGAAGGTCAAGGCAGCATTCTACCACTTGAGCCATGCCCCCGGATGTAATTATTCCCACTCTTTACCTTGTCTTTCCATTCTTTACAGAGGGTTTTTAATTTTCATGAAGTCCAGTTAATTATTTTTCATTTAGAGACTATGCTTTTTGGTGTCATGTCTAGTAATTCTTGGCCCTAACCATAAATCCTGAAGATGTTCTCTCTCTCTGAATGTGTGTGTGTGTGTGTGTGTGTGTGTGTGTGTGTGTGTATGTGTGTGTGTATTCAACTCTTTTCTTCACCTTCTCTTTCTTCATTCCTGTTCTCTCTTTTCCTTTCCTTTCCTTTTTTTTTGTATGCTGGGAATTGAACCACACAAAGGCCTCACTGATATTCAACAAGTATTCTGTGTCGGCTTATTTTTTATTGCATACTGTACATTATAAGTAATAGTTGCAAAGAGTTTGTATTCTTTCATGTTCCTCAACTGAGTGCTGATTTGTATTACAGTAGACAGCTAACTTGGTTGGACTCTTAACACCTAATTCTATTGCAATGGGTTCTTTCAGTTTCTTGTTGCTGGTTCTTTTTGTTTCTGTCTCTCTTGAACATTCAACAGTCAGCCGGGATCTGGGCAGAGTTTACATGCAGTTTTCAAGTCTATTCCCTTCTGTAGCTCTCCCCTTTACATATTTTCACCTTTTTAGCTTTTCTTCCAACTTTAAACCTTATCTTCTCATACTGCAATCTAGTAAAGTGTAGATTGTTTTTCATCTTTGGAATGCTAGAGATTAAATCTAGGGCCTTGCACATGATAGGTAAGTACTTTACACTGAGCTATGCCCCCTAGTCTGAGCTGAGACTTGATGCCTCAAGAAGCTTGGAAATCGGGGCATACCTTCCAACAAAAAGCTATATTTGAAGTTTTTCCCAGGCTGTGGACAACTTTCAGCTAAATTAGACTCCTTGCCAGTTTCCAAGGCACTTTCCAGTTCCTAATAGTTGTTTATTTAATTTTTTTTCTTTTTAATTATTATCATGGGAAAGTTAATTTGATCAAGATTCTACAATTTACCGCACTGTTAATTTTTAAAGTCATACTTTAGTACTATATGGCAAACACTATGCAAAACACAACCTGTATATAAAAATATATAACATTATTCCTATTGCCAAGGACATCACTTTATTCAGTTGATTTGATAAATATATTTTAATACATATGAATTAATAAACATATATGTAGCTATATTATGTATACATAATTAAAAAGTTTTCTTACTTTTCTACAGCAGATCGTTTCTGTGACTTGCTCTTGTAATTTAGTGCCATCTTAGTTTCCATTCCAGTGTATATAGCAACACCTACAAAACAAAACTATTCTTTAAAATAATTCTCTAGATAGAAGGTATAGGAATGGAGAGGTAGGTTGATTGGATCAGTAGCCATCTGGAATCTAGGCAATAAGGCAGGAGAGGAGCTGGCATGCAAAGCCAGTCAGAAAGCCAGGCAAGGTGGCCCCCATCTTGACAAACCTGCTCTAGTTGCAGATACATTAAAAAGGAAAAACAATAACAACAACTGTGCTACAGAGCTTTGAGCCTTTCCCTCTGTGAAATAAGAAATGTAAAATTCCAGTCCCCACCATTATCCATTTACATGTCAGAATGCAGTTGTAAAAGTTACTGACAAAAAATAAGTTATTGACATTTTCTTAGGAATGGAGTAACAAAACCTGCTGTGAATTATCCCTTTAAAGAAAGCAACTAGATGGAATTTCTCCAATGATGACAGCCTTAAAAATGATACAAGTTCTTAAAGTAAGTCCCATATCACCCAAGAATCACCTGTAACTGTACACTGACACGGGAATTCAAGGTTTGTTTTGCCAAGTTACAGTTTCACAAGGCAGCTCTAACTTTTCATGGGGATATGCAAGGCAAGCACTCTACCACTGAGCCACCTTGCCAGCTCCTCAGCCAGTTTTTATAGGTTTTACAAGTCTAACTTAAGGAACCCAGTCATTCAACCTGCTGGATGAGGAGGCCATAGGAGTCCTGGTTTTGAGTCATAATAGGTACTGAATAAAAGAAGTAATATTTAAGTTAGAATTGAAAGGGGGAGGAAGATGGCAAAGATAGATGACCGTCACAAATGTAGCAAAAGGTAGAAATAAAAAGTACTGTTAAAGCAGGAACAATGAGTTGGAGTCCAGAGTGTGAAGGGCCAGGAATGCCAGATCTGGTATCTAGACATCATTCCAAAAGAGTTTGAAAAATAACATGTGCATCTGTCAGAATAAATTAAGTAAGCACAAAGAAAATCCTTTTTTAGGGGCTGGGAAGGTGGCTCAGTGGTAGAGCGCTTGCCTTGCATGCATGAGGCCCTGGGTTCGATTCCTTAGTACCACATACGCAAAAAGAAAAAAGCCAGAAGTGGTGCTGTGGCTCAAGTGGTAGAGTGCTAGCCTTGAGCCTTGAGCTGAAGAGCTGAGGGACAGCGCCCAGGCCCAGAGTTCAGGCCCCACAATCGGACCCCCCCCAAAAAAATCCTTTTTTAAGAATGTGAAAGACTCTGAGAGATAAGCAAGAATGACAGTAATAATGGAACTAAAAGTTGGAAACAAAAGGAATCAGGCAAGACAAGCCTTATTAAAAATAACTTTGCAGTTAAGACTTTGTTTCACATACTCTGTCACTTTCACATATTTGGTAAGTAATCAATCTCATTTTTCCCACTTTTTTTTTTTTTTTTTTTGGTCAGTCGTGGGGCTTAAACTCTGGGCCTGGGTCCTGTCCCTCAGCTCTTCAGCTCAAGGCTAGCACTCTACCACTTGAGCCACAGTGCCACTTCCTGTTTTCTATGGTTTTTATTGGAGATAAGAGTCTCATGACTTTCCTGCCCCGACTGGCTTTGAACTGAGATCCTCAGATCTCAGCCTCCTGAATTGCTAGGATTACAGGCGTGAGCCACCAGCGCCCGGCATTTTCCCCACTTTTAAATAGGGAAAAAATACCTTATAGTAGTTGTGAGGTCTGTGTGAAAAATTAGTATAATGCCTAGACTGAAAAGATAATCAGTAAATGTTTATATCTTCCCTCCCCACTGCCCCCTCCAATCTCTGCCCTGGACTTTCCTGTCTGGGCTGGCTTTGAACCTTGATGCTCAGATCTCAGTCTTCCAAGTAGCTAGAACTACAGGCATGATCCAGTACTAGAATTATTCTTTAAAGGTGGGAATCACAGGGGGAAAGGGTAGGAATGACAGATGAGAGAGGGAACTAAAAACTATAGAAAGCTGAGAAAACTGAATGAAACAAAAGGAATAATGGTGCTAAGATAAACAACAAAAGACAGACCCCAGACCTAATTTAAAGTATTTAAATATACATTTTCTAAACAAATTTGGGCCCAAATGTTAAGGTTAATCAGAATGAAGGAATACTGCTGGAAAAATGTGTTAAAATTCACTGTGATATTAGAAAGTTTAAAACTCTAAAAGGTTTATTCTAGAACTTGAATTCATGGTCTAGGTGCTATCCTGAGATTCTGTGCTCAAGGCTAGTGCTCTGCCACTTGAGACACAGTTCACTTCCAGCTTTTTGCTGGTTAACTAGAGATAAGAGTCTCAAGGACTTTCCTGCTTAGGCTGGTTTTGGACTGCCATCATTAGATTTCAGCCACCTAAATATATAGGATTACAGGTGTGAGCCACTGGTACCTGGCTTATAATTTTTTTTAAGAGTGGAAAAATACATAAAATATACAATTTAACCATTGAACCAATTTAAGTTGTAAATCAGTAAATTCACAATTTTGTGAGACCATATTATTCTCTAACTAGAGGATAATTTCATCATCTTAAAAAAACAAAAACCCTATACTCATTAGATTATCATTCCTTAATCTTCTCATATCCCTAACTCCTCAGAAAAACAAATCTGCCTTATCTCTGCATTTGCCCATACCAGATATTTCAAATAAATATGAGGTTTTATGTCTGACTTCTTTCACTTAACATAGTTTCAAGATTCATCCATGTTATAGCATAAACTGATACTTCATTCACTGGATTCTATCACATTATACATCTATTCCACATTTTGTTCATTTGTACCTGAAGGACTGATCCCCACCCTGTTGTCCCAGGTACATACAGATACCAGACAAAATCCCAGGTATGTGTGAACATGTTTGATCTGTTGGCAGGGCAATCTATGTAAACCCAGATGAAAACATCCTATTGTGGGCCCAAATGAAAAGCCCCCACCTCCCTTGACCTAGTGGCTTTTTCATTAACCCCTGCCTCCTTGCTCAGACCCCATATAAAAACCCAACTCCTGTTCCAACTTTCTCGCACAACCTTCAAACCCATAAGAAGGTCTGTGCTCCATACTGTTGACGATGGAGTCTAGCCTATTCCTTTTCGGTTCCCCTCCATTTTCCAAATAGTACCCTGTGGCAATTGTGGATAATGCTACTGTGAACATTCTTATGCAGGTTTTTGTTTGAACACCCATTTTTCAGTTCTCTGGGGTATATACCACATATGTATAGTGAGATTGCTGGGCCATTTTGTAATACAGTGTTTAGTTGATTGAAGAGTGGCCAAATTTTTCTTAAGAGACTGAACACAACTATTAACAATGTACCACAGTACAAATTTGTTCATATCTTTGCAATATTCTTTTTCTTTTGTTGATGTCAGCACTGGGGCTTGAATTCAGAGCCATGGTGCTATTCCTCAGCTTTTACCCTACCACTTTAGCTACAATTCCACTTGTGGGCTTTTAGAATATCATGAACTTTTCTGCCTAAACTGGCTTAGAATTGTAATCTTCAGATCACCATCTCCTCAATGGCTAGGATTAGAGGCATGAGCTACTAGGGCCCAACTTCTTTTTCCTTAAGAAGAAAAAAAAGTGTGTGTGGTGTGTGTGCGTGCGTGTGTGTGTGTGTGTATTTGCTGTCATTTGGACTACTGGGATTTCAAGCCTCATACTCTAATGCTTAAACCACACTCCTATTTTTGCTTTATTTTTTCAGATAGGGTTTTGTGTTTTTGCCTGAGGATAATCTCAACCAAGATCCTTCCAAGGATCTTTGCCTCTCAAATAGCCCCTTTACACAATAAAATATGATTACTTTATAAGATACCTTGAGAGCTAAGATATAGCAGCACAGCAAATGTAAAAGACAAATAAGGGGGATGGGGAGTACGGAGTGTAGCTGAGGAGGTGGGAGGGAAGGGATGGTAGGGGAAAAACAAAGGAGGCAACAATGCTGGATAAGAAATGAACTCATTACCTTGCTCATGTAACTGTAACCTTTTGTACAGTATTTTCATAATAAAAAACTTAATTCAAAAAATAAAATAAAAAATTAGAGCTGTGGGTAACAGTGGGCCAGGATACTAAAAGGTTATTTCTAAAATGGAAGGAGCTAGATGTCAGCTAAAGGTCATTTTCAACTTCATAAGCTGATAATGCACTGATTTGGATTCAGAGTATATTGAGTTAATTTAGAACACTATTTATTCATCTTTTTGATATAATAAAGTACATATCCCAATTGTACCTGGTATACATTCAGAGGTTTGTAAGAAGTTGAACATACATACCTACATACATGCATACATATGCTGGTACTTATTATCCAACTTTGGAATAACCATAAAGGAATTATAGAAAAGGCTTACTACACTATGTTAGATTATATTGGTTCTCATCCATGCAACTCAAAGTACTAATTATTTTCTTAGCATTCAGTTTTACAAATTTTCAGAAACACAATAGAAAGGTTCTAGTTTATTATTCAAAAGCAAGATTAACAAAAACATATGAATACAATTTTTGTAAGAAAATAATGACATACAACATTTAGGTAATGAATTAGTTCAACCCAAAAGGCTACAAATACTGTGCTTTTAAAAATATTTCACATATGTTCACCTGTAATCCTAGCTACTTCAGGAGGTTGAGATCTAAGAATCATAGTTTAAAGCCAGCCTGGGTAGGAAAGTTCATAAGACCCTTTATGTCTAATTACCTACCAAACACCCAAAGGTAGAGGTTGTGACTCAAAAGATAGACTATTAGCCTTGAGCACCAAAGCTCAGCAACAGAGACCAAGCCCAGAGTTCAAGCCTCAGGACTGGCACATGCGCATGCATACACGTTTCTTTCATCTTTGGGTCCACGTATACATACGTACATACATACACACACACTTTTCTTACTTTTATCTTTAGGTCCAAGACCGGGACTGTAAATTAGTATTATTTTTGCTCACTGACTAGTACTTTACCAACTGAGCCATGCCTCCAACCCCACAAAAATTCTTATACTCCATGAATAGCAGAGTTCATGCCTACCACCAGCAAGCATCCTGAGTTTCAGGGGAAAACCCTCAAAAACTCCATATCAAGCATCGATTCAAAAGAATAATAAAAAAAATTAAAGTATATACTAACCAAAAATTTCTTTTGTGTTTTTTAATCTGGCTCCACGAAGTAAGAGACTCTCTGGTCCCAGCGGTCTAAAGGAAAAAAGAAAGCCAAAAGCACTGAATACATCAAAGCTTCAGTTCAATTAAATGGTATCTTCAGTAGGAGATACTTTTGTAGCAGATATAGTAATTATAGCTACAACATCACTTTTATAAAAATCCTATAAAGCTACTATAAAGCTGCCTAGGCCAATCATGATGTTAATTATGATAACAACAAACATCTGCTTTAGCATTTTAGTTACTTTAAGGTTAGTGGCTCAGAAATAAAATTATGCATGGAAATATACTTATAAAGCCACTAACTCCAAATTTTTTAAACATAAAATACAGTAAGATAAATGATTAAGAATGTTTAGAAGATAAACAGTTTTAAATTTGAACAAAGTAATAAACAGCCTTAGGAGGGAAGATACAGGATTTACAATGCAACATAAACATAAAATTATAGTATGATCTATATATAAATGCATGAGGTTTGCACAATTAAAGTTATGCTGACTATAAATATAATGTAAAGAGTAGATTAGTGTTTTTTGTCAGCAAGACTGCACAGTATAGCTTGACTACTTGCATTGCATACTTCTTGGAGCACAGGTCTTCTTGCTGTTTGAATTTCTCTCCATAAAGGAGATATAAAACGACAAGGAATAACTAGAAAGAAAATTGTATTTTCTTAGTAAAAGCAAAATGATTAAGACTCTACTATGGTCAAGTTTAAAAACCTTTATTTTGTTGATATTTTTTATGCTTTTCTAAAATATACATACAAATTTACAAAAACAGAATCTGGACAATTTGTGAAAAAATTTACAAACTCAAGCACTGTTAAAAAAAATGCCTTTGGGGGCTGGGAAGGTGGCTCAGTGGTAGAGCGCTTGCCTTGCATGCCTGAGGCCCCAATTCCTCAGCACCACATAAGCAAAAAGAAAAAAGCTAGAAGTGGCGCTGTGGCTCAAGTGGTAGAGCACTAGCCTTGAGCTGAAGAGCTGAGGGACAGTGCCTAGGCCCAGAGTTCAGGCCCCATGACCGGACCCAAAACAAACAAAATGCCTTTGGGCCAGTGTTAAGGACATGACTAACAAGTATGGCTTTATTTTAGTTGTATTTGTAGAACACCCTGGATATTCCAAAATTAATGTAGCAGCTCACTATTTTATAGTTTTTTCACTTTGTAGTGGTTATACATGAAGAGAATGCTTTGAGTTCACATTGGCATAAAAAACTAAGAAGTAAGGCTAGCTTCATTCCACTTGCTTTAGTAGAGCATGGTTATATTCTTAACCACTTTAGGAGCTGACTTAACAATTGTTATTTTTCTTTACCAGACACAGTATCTTTATGTAATTGAGAAGATATGTCTACATTTTTCACTATAAAAATAATTCAGCAGGGATTTTACACATATGCAGGTTTTGTTACGAAGTTAATTGGATGTGCTTCTATGTTAGCATTTATTAAAAATATGACTGAGTGCTGATACATACTTTTGGAGGCATATCTTGAGGATTTCAATTAAAACTGCTCATGTCTTTCTGGAACCAGTATAAACTGAACATATCTCCAAAAAAGAGGTGGCATTATCAATTTTTTTGGCAGAATTAGGGTCTGAACTCTACCTTATGCTTGCTAATCAGGCATACTTATCCCTTGAGCCATTCTATTAGTCTCTTGCATTTATTTCCAAGATATGGTCATACTTTATGTCCAAACCAGTGCAGACTGCCTTCATTTTACTTGTGCACACCAAAACTGGACCGAAAGGGCAATCCCTCAATCTCTGCCTCCCAACTAGCTAGGATTATAGGCTTGAGTCAGCTCAAATTTGATTAGAAATTAAAGGACTAATTCAGAGATTAATCCTAAATTAAGCCTTTGGGTCATAAGTAACAAATAACTTCATTTTATTAGCCAATCTTTGAAGTGCCAAAAGTTAACCTGAGTATAGAGGGAAAATCAATCAAAACCAACCAACCAAGCAAAAGAACAGTAAGAAGAGTAAGTGAATAGTTCTGATCTGGTCACGAAATACTCAGGCTTGCAATGAATGATTTTGAAGAAGATCATAGTATTCATAAATGCTACACATGAAACATTTTTCATACTCTTGGGGGCGTTGGGAGGGTGAGTACTGAGGACTGACCCCAGGGCTCCCCACATGCTAAGTGTGTGTTATTTTATGGAACTACACCCTCAGTCTTCACATTTTTTACTTTTAAGCATGACTTTAAATGGATAAGGACCTGAATAAAGCAACTATGCCTCTTTTTAAGGTTACTACCTAATCTAGAAAATAAATATACAAATCTTATTCAATTATTTTTGTATCATTTCATGGTCTATTTCATTCTCACTTATCATTGCTACAAATTACTAACAGATGAAATGTTAAATGCTTTTAAATTAACTTTTTCCCATTACATGCTTCTATTTATCTAATTTCTCTTTACTTTTAGTTCAGTTCACCAATATTTCTCATTTATGATTAGATAATATGAATTATTCATACCTGACAATTTCTTCCATTTGTTGACTTATTATCATCCGTCCCATGAATCTATAAAAGAATATACCATATTACAAAAATATAACATCAGCCAGGCACTGGTACCTCATGCCTATAATCCTAGCTATTCAGGAGACAGATCTGAAGATTGCGGTTCAAAGCCAGACAGAAATGTCCATGAGACTCTTATCTCCAATAAACCACCAGAAAACCGGAAGTGGCGCTGTGGCTCAAGGGGTAGAGCACTAGCCTTGAGCTGAAGAGCTCAGAGACAGTGCCCAGGCCCAGAGTTAAAGTCCCATGATCAACAATAAACAAAAACAAAAACAAAAAATGAAATCAACAGGTAGAATATATTAACAACAGGTAGAATATATATTCAATACTATTCACAGACATGAAACAATGTCAGTCTTTTAACCAGGCCCTACAGGTTCATGCCTGTAATCCAGGCTGAAATTTGGAGGACTGAGGTTCAAGACTAGACTAAGCAAAAAGTTTACAAAACCTACACAACCAATAGCTGAGCTTGGTGGCAATATACCTGTCATCTAAGCTATCTATGTGGGGAGACTGTGATCAGAGGATTGTGGTTCTAGGTCAGCCTAAACAGAAAAGACTGTGAGAATTCATCTCAAGGTAAGATGGTGGGAGTGGTGATGAGTGCTTAGATGTAAGCCACAATGGGAAGTAAAAAGTAGGAAAATCACGGTCCAGGAGCAGATCTGGGAAGGAAGTCTATTTAACCAGTGCAAAAATGAACTAGAGCTATACCTCAGTGACACAGAACTTGACTAAAAAGTGGGAAGCCTAGCTGGGTGCCAGTGGCTCATGCCTGTAATCCTAGCTACTCAGGAGGATGAGATCTGAGGCTCATGGTTCAAAGCCAGCCCGGGCAGGAAAGTCCGTGAGACTCTCATCTCCAAGAAACCACTAGAAAACCAGAAGTGGCACTGTGGCTCTCAAGTGGTAGAATGCTTGCCTTGAGCTGAAGAGCTAAGGGATTAGAGCCCAAGCCCAGAGTTCAAACCTCAGTACTATTCAAAAAACCCACAAAACCCAAAAATTAAATATGTGTGTGTGTGAATGAATGGTTCAGTATTTATGCTTTAAATTATAAAAGTATTTAATTTGTAAAGCTTTAGGTTTAAAAATTGAATGTTCTTGCCATCTCTACTTCAGCTTCTAATGAGGTGATGAATAAAAATGTGTTGGGTTTTTTGTTGTTGGTTGTGGGGCTTGAACTCTGGGCCTGGGCTCTGTCTCGCAACTCTTCAGCTCAAGGTTAGTGCTCTACCACTTGAGCCACAGCACCACTTTGAATTGTCTGAGTAGTTTATTGGAGATAAGAGTCTCATGGCTGGGGCTGGGAAGGTGGCTCAGTGGTAGAGTACTTGCCTCACACGCATGAGGCTGTGGGTTTGATTCTTCAGCATCATATAAGCAAAAAAAGCCAGAAGTGGTGCTGTGGCTCAGAGCACTAGCCTTGAGCTGAAGAGCTGAGGGACAGCACCCAGGCCCAGAGTGTAGGCCCCACGACCGGACCCAAAAAAAAAAAAAAAATTTCATTTTGGATTTCAAAATAATGTCATTTATGGTTACAAAATAAGATCTGCTAACAAGACTTGAGATAAGTATGTTGCACATTCCACCATACCTGTACAGGTCTGCTTCTGGCTGCTGGCATTCTATCACTGCTATAAGACTGTCCAAATTGGAAACTGTTTGTAATACTGCTGTCTCTGGAACAGCCACATGTGTCTAGAGAGAGATAAAAGGATGAACCTCTAATAACTCGAATGTGACCTTAGATATCAATGACTTCAAATGTCTTACAATTGAAATCTTACAAATGATATATTGTACTTGAGGTCAATAACTAGACAGCAAAAGACAGAATAATGTAAAAGAAGCAAAAAACAAAAGGATTGCTAAAATTTTTTAACTACAGACCATTAAGTACTAGGAAATTAAATCATAAGTGAATTAGCATTATTGTCCAGAATTAAAAATAAGCAATTTAAAAGAAAAAAAGTGATTCTCATTCTTAATTTTGCTTTGCAATTGATAAAATACAAACTGTACCTCAATTTTAAAAATTATGTAAATTTAAGATATTTAATAACTCTCTACTTTTAGCTTGAATAAACCAGGTAAAACTACGCTTAAAATATACAATAACTTTGAATTTTTAGGAAAGTTTATATTTTTTTAAAGTTCTAGTAATTTAAAGCAAAAACATATTATAATGCAGAGCTATCTTGCATATACAATCAAAACACATGAACAAACCTTCAGGTTAGTTTCTCCATCCAAACTGGCAGTTGTAACATGACACGAACCATCAAGTCGGTCTGAGGACAGAAGTACCAAATCTGCAGGGAAAATCTCATCTTTGGCTATTCGAACAATATCACCTACCTATGAAGAATGTGGGGGAAAAATAAATATATACAAGTTTTTAAAAGCAAGGACTTTCACTGGGTCCTATATAAGTGGCCTACAAATTTTAGTTTTATTTCCTCCTTTGCAGTTGTGGGGATGAACTTGAGCACAACTTGATTGTACTATAAAGTACTCTACTACTAAGTTGTATAGTCCCTATCCATATCACAGTGTTTAGTGTAAGAAAACAGGCTTTAACCTAAAATATAATTAAGAGAGAACTGTGATATAAAAAAATAATTTTTTTTCCAGCCAGGTGTTGGTAGCTCAAGCCTGTAATCTTAGCTACCAGAAAGCTGAGATCTAAGGATTACAGTTCAAAGCCAGTCTGAGCAGGAAAGTCTGTGAAACTCTTAGCCCCAATTAATTACCAAAAAGCTGATGTGGAGCTGTGGCTAAAGTGGTAGGGCACTATTCTTGAGCATAAAAGCTAAGGGATAGTGCCCAGACCCTAGGTTCTAGTCCCAGGAATGGCACAAAACAACAAAACAAAATAAACCAACTCTCCTCCCCCTGTACAATTTTCTATTATTTATCATTATTTCTATTATTTACCCGGATGTTTTTTGATCTGGTTTTTACAAGGCCACCACTTCGAACAACATAAACAGGAGCTCCATTTACTTCATTGTCTGAGTTATGCCGTAACCAGTCCTCATATCCCTATAAACATATCCAACAGAAAAAAATCCTTTTTAGTATAATTAAAGATACTTTCATTAAATAAGGAAAAAATAAGCCAAGTGCTGGTGGCTTATGCCTGTAATCCTAGCAACTCAGGAGACTGAGACCTGAGGATTGTGGTTCAAAGCCAGCTTGGGCAAGACAGTCTGTGAGACTCTTATCTCCAATAAAACCACCAGAAAACCATAAGTGGCACTGTGGCTCAAGTGGTAGAGCACTCGCCTTGAGTTGAGGACCAGTGCCCAGGCCCAGAGTTCAAGCCCAACAACCAACCAAAAAAAGAAGAAAAAGAAAAAAAGAAAACTTCACCCCAAATATTTCATGTACCAGAATTATATTGATTTTAATGTTATTTATATAAAAGGATTGTATATTATTTATGTGCCATTTTGATATATATGCTTATTCCCACTAGAAACATGATCTTCTTCTGGTTTTCATTATGCACACGTTTTCACAGAATCTCTCTAGTTATCTTTTCTTTATTTCCTTGCTGGAAATTCCTTCTGTGTCTCCTTAAAGGAACCCTTTCTCACATTTTATATGCAATAGAAAATTTACTCTATTTTATCTATTCTTACACGTTTAAATATTACAAAATATGCTGGTAATTCTGAAATTTATATTAATGGCTCATATTTCTCTTCAGGATTTCCTACTTAAGTATCTAGATGTATTTATTCATGTCTCTACTCTTATGTTTCCTAAATATTCAACACTAAATTTAGGATGTTAATTCCCAAAAATCTGTTGCATTTCTCATGTTTCCCACCTTAGCAAATAACATCACTATCTATCAGCAAATCACGGCAAAAATTGGGGCATCATTCTTGACACCAATTTTTTTCCAACATCATTTTTCCCTATTTTTCTCAATCAATCATGACATTTTTTATTTCTACATACAAATGGTTTTTAATTACACAGGATAAGGTTACACAGCATTACAGACATAAACACAGAGAAAATATTTTTAAAACTGAGGCTGACTTACTTTATTTTAAACAATAGAACATAATTAGTTAGAGCATCCCTAATCTGAAATACTAAAATCACAAATAATCTAAAATTAAAATTTTTTCATGAAGTAAATATTCCAATTTCACATATTAATTGCCCAACACTACTAAAATACTGCATAAAAATACCTTCCAGCTAAGTGAATAAAGTATATGTAAAATATTTTGAAATGGTCAATGATAGACTAAAAGGAGAGAAGGGAAAGTTGGAACTGGCAACACTCGCTTTTACAGTTTCTCCAAAGTCTGTGCTATTGACTTACAGTGATACACATATAAATCTGAACAATACATGAAAGTCTCTTCTGTGTGGTTATTAAATGACTAAAACATGAAAAGTTATTGTAATAAGAAGACTTTGACTGAAAATTTAGTTTTAAGAAGGAAGAATATCCTTACAGATTAAATTTTCACTCTGAAATTATATAACCATTTTTATTTCCTATTTTGCCATCATTGTCAACTGTAGTAATTACACTATACAGGTTTGCAATACAATTTTCTAATTCTTACCTTCAGATTTTTATGCATTTCAGTCTATTTTAGAAGACAGGTTATTTACTTTAATTATATTAAAATCTTAAAGTATGTGTTCATTATAAACTTTCTCAACTCAGTTAATGTATCAGTTTCTAATTAAATGCAGTCTATATTTGGTCAAATGTACATTTAGAATAAGAGCAGGAAATATTGAAACATATTGCCACATATTGATGGTTTTCAATTTATATCTATCTTGAAATGATTCTTTGTACTCCAAAGATGCACATATAACTATACAACATTTCCACTTGTATATCTCACAAGAATTGCAAACAGAATTCTGGGTGACTTTCTCCCTAAAATGACTTATTTTCACTGTTCCCCTCTATATGAACAGTACCACTGCCTTACCACAAATATTGGCATCCTTTTCCTTTGATTGTTTTTATTCCCACCCTCAAGATCTTTATAAGGATCCAATAAAAAGTATCATTCATTTATTCAGCAAATATTCAGACCTCTACATGTACATGGCTATATTCTAGTCACTTGAAATACACTGGAAAAAGAGAATACAAAAGTCTCTCCCTTTGCAGCACCAAACATGTACATCAAAGTAACAAACTAATATAGACAACACTAGATCATGACTAGTGAGCTAAAGAAAAGTGATTCAAAAAGGAAATGAGAAAGTAGTACAGTGGCCAGGAAATGCCAGAGTTTAAGTATCAAAGAAAAATGAACTTTTCAGGAAGAGAGTGTAGCTTGGGACAACAGCATGCTTACTGTGCCTGAGGATGAGGAGGGAAATGTGGCTAAAGGAGAGTTAGTAAAAGACAAATGGAGGAAACGAAGGAACCAGACAGTTATTTCTGTCCCTGTAGATCACTGAAGAGATTTCTGTTTTTGTTAGAGTCTGATAAGACACCATTAATCAGCTTTATGCTGAAGGGCAGTTTGATCTGATTTTAAGAAATAACAGGAGAGCAGGAACAGAAGGAGACTATTACCCCTAGTGGAGATGAAGGGTAATGGAGAGTTGAACTAATTTGTTGGATCTTGAAGATGGGGATAAAAACAATCAAAGGAAAAGGATGCTAGTATTTGTGGTGAGACAGAGGTACTGTTCATATAGAGGGGAGCACTGAAAAATAAGTTGTTTTAGAGAGAAACCCACCCAGAATTCTGTTTGCAATTCTTGTGAGATATACAGGTGGAAATGTTATATATTTGGAATACAAAGAATAATTTCAAGATAGATATAAATTGAGAACCATCAATATGTGGATGGTACTTTGAACTACTAGACTAGATGAAAAGTCTTGGGAGACTTTTTTTAAGACACTTAAGAGAAAAATCTATACAATGAAGTCTGAGGGATTAATATGGGACTCTGATGAAATAAATGACATCTAAAAAACTAAGAATATATGCTGACTGTATGGGGTGATTGAGCTGCTTATTGATTTACACAAACTCTAGTCTAGAAGAGTAAAGAAAGAAAAATCAAACTTACTGAAAACTGTGACAAAATATTCTGACCCAGTACATGCATAATGTTATTATTAACTACAGGCTTCTCTCATCCTTTATCTCTTAATAAAAATGAAAGTAAACATAATAAAGTAATATACTTCATCTCAGAATTGTAAAGTATCAATTTTATTTCCACATTTCTTAATATGTTTATCCAATAATCTTATTTCTCTATAACTAAATTTTAACTTGGTTGAAACTATTTTCATTAGAATGCAACTTCACATAAAAACTTACTTTACTGAAACAAGTTGTAAAAAGTACAAAAGCACTTTACAATTTTTATTTTTATATAGTCATGCTAGAAGTAAATGCTCCATTCTTACAAACATAGCCTCTTTGAGTTTTGTACTTCTTTTAAGCATCACCAAACTTTACAAGATGATTATAATGAATGTTTCATATGTAAAGTCATTTGTACATATAACCTTGTTTTTAGATGCTTCTTATTTCAAAGGAGCATCTTTTAATGGTGGTAACCATTCATGGTCACAAGGTACCTAAAATATAATAGGAGTGGCTAACTCAGTTTAACTTTGTCATGTATCCAATACATTTGCTGCCTTCTTGTGAAAATTACATCTATAATAATAAGTGTTTGCAGTAGAAACACTTAGCAACTTACGAATGGATTTGGAAAACAACAATAAGAAGAAGCATTTCATACCTGCTTTATGGCGGTTACTGTAATCACAAAGAATAATGGAAGTCCACTGGTAATTGGACTGGTAGGTGTATCAATCATAAGCTAGATTTGAAAAAAAACAGCACAGCATTTTTATATTGCATATAGTAGACTATTAATACTCAAAGCCTCAGGCTATTAAGCAGTGGGTATAGTTAGTTCACAATCTTAAAACCTTACAATGATGCATACTGTATGCTTATACCCAAATATATTAGGACTCAAGGACTAGAGGACTCAAGATACTCTTGGTTTGGTCTGGATTTTGAGACAGGGATTTACCAGGTAGTACAGGCTGGTCATAAAGGTTTTTTTTTAAGTATTAAAAAAATCATCTTTAGTTGTAGAAAGGAGTTTTAATTCAACAAATCAGTTCATAAGTACATTGCATTTCCGTCCCCCTCTCCCACGTTGCTAGAACTCAGGGCCTCACGCTCTCACTCAGTTTTCTTGCTCATGGCTGGCACTCTATCACTTGAGTCATACCCCCAGTTACACATATTGCTGGCTAATTAGAGATGGAGTCTCACAGACTGTTTGCCCAAAATGGCTTTGCACAGAAATCCTCCAGGTCTCAGATTACTTAGGATTACAGATGTGAGCCACTGGTACCTGACTAGGTCTTGAACTCTCAACCCTCCTGACTCTGCCTCCTAGTCTAAGATCATAAGTGTGTACAATCATGCCTGGCCAGTCTGCTTTCTTAACATACAGGGCATTCAAGTTCTTTTTCAATAATGCTTAGCAGTAGAGCTACAACTATTCATATCTTATATCACATTTCCTTTCACATCCTGAAAAATGCTGAAAATTCTATAGCAATTTTTATCCTAGGATTCAGAATAACTTAAAGACTGTTTTTCCCCCTAAGAGTGATTTAGTTATACCCAGAAAAATTAGGCTGCAATTATGATGTAAGTCATAACTGAAGTTTTGATAAACTGCTAGGGAAGTATATGCAGTAATTATATATAGTTATCTAGAACACAGATCTTATAACTTATTAATGTTCCTTTGCTCTGGATAGGCCAATTAAATTTCTTCTATTCTAAAGACATGCTGATTCCTCATCTTAGCTAGTAGTTTCAAAAATACATGTTGTTATGTAGATATGGTTAGTATTTCTCATTTTTTTCAAGAAAACCAAGCAGATTTTCTATTGATATAAAATTAGAAATTCCTTCTCTGTTCACAAAGAAAAGTGATGTTTTAAAAAAGTAAATGCTCCAAAGCTTCAAAATATTAAATATATTAAATTAAAAATATTAATTTTGCTTTTGAAATCCTAAGTTCTACTGAGAGAAATTGTTCAGAGTTTATACACAAAAATTCTAAGCCATACAGAAAGAAATTTCTAAAGTTTCATTAGGAAAGAATTACCTCCTTAAAGGACACTGATAACCACTATATTTATACCTTTACTTACACTGGAATTTCATGAGTTTTTCTCCTGCTATTTTGATATACAAAGCACAGTATGAAAATTCAGATGCTATATGAACAGCTGGACATAATGGAACACACCTCTGATCCTAGCTACTCAGAAGGGTCATGATCTCAAGGCCAGCCCAAACAAAGGTAGTGTCCAGACTATATCTCAAAAATAAAATGAAAACAAAAGGCCAGAGGGTACAAGTTCAAGTGGTAGAGTGCTTTCCTAGCATGTACAAAACTCTGGGGTAAACTCACAGTAAATCCACTCCCCACACACAGTTAAATAAGCCTATAATGAACAGATTGTAATGAAGGAAAGGCCTCCTGGGCAAAGAATGTACTCAAAGGGATGCTTAAAACTACAACAACTGGCTTGGCATGGTGGCACATATCTATATCACAGCACTTGGGAGGTTGAGGCAGAGCCTGGGCTAAAGAGCAAGACTGTATCACAAAATTGAAACAAATGAGCAAACATATATACAAAAGAAAATTATCTAACTTTCTAAATAAAAATAAAATTCATGGGCTAGGATGTGGCTTAGTGATAAGAGTCCTTGCCTAGCATGCATGAAGCCTGGTACCACATAAACAGAAAATGCCAGAAGTAGAACTGTGGCTCAGGTGGTAGAGTGCTAGCCTTGAGCAAAAGAAGCTCAGGGACAGTGACCAGGCCCTGAGTTCAAGCCCCATGATTGGGAAAAAATAAATAAATAAATAAAATGTATTTCTTTGGGATACGGATCTTGTTATGTTGCCAGACTGACCTCAAACTCCTAGGGAAAAAAAAAGATTCTCCTTCCTCAGCCTTCTGAATACTTGGAACTACAGGCATGTACCACCATATATTGACTAAAATGAAATTTTAATTAAAAGTCAAAAAATTACTTCCTACAAAGATAATTCCATGCACAGATAAGTGCCAAAACATACAGTACATATTAACAGCTAAGATCTTTCTACTCTGAGGCAGGCATCTGACAGAAAGTTGACAGATGGTCAACAGTAATGATATAAAATACAACTAATATTCTAAGTTATAATTCATAAGATATTGTTTAGAACTCTACACATGACTTACATAATTTATTCACTGAATTCAATGGGGAAGCTTTACAGAAAAAAGGTCCCATAGTCAAACAATTAAGAAAACAAGATAATTTTTTTCATATTCTAAGATGTATTTTTTAAAATTATGTTTACAAACAATCCATTGAATGATAAAGCTTACCTGAACCAAAAATATTATAAGAAAATAAAAGTTTGCCACTCTTCTGAATTGCTCAAATAAATTTTTTGGAACAAAATTCCACACAGTATACTAAAAAAAAAAAAAGGAATGAAAAATCAATAAATAGACATTTTAAACAATATAGTGTATATAACTATAGAAGTAAAACCAGATTTTCTAAGCCTTCAAATTTGTATCTATTAATATTACAGAAATTATTTTTCTACTTTCTAGAGTTCAAAACTTTTATTACATTTTTTTCTTTATTTTACTGCTTAATGGAACTTTTAGTATACTTAAAAAATGAGATAAACTGGAAATTATCAGTTTTGCTACTAACTTGCTGATATTTTTAGAAGGCAGATCTAAAATACTGTTTAAATAATTTACTTTGAACTTTATATATATATATATATATTCTACACTTAATGGTAGAGATGGTTAAGAGTTGATAGAAATGACACTATTATTTTATTATTTTATATTTTCCTTGGCTCAGTGTTAGGAACAGAAAATAGTATAATAATTGAATTATTTTTTACTATAGAATATAGAAAGATTACCTAGACGGTTAAGAAATAAGAATGTCTTAAGTAATAACCTGAATAATTAAAAAAAAGAATAAGAACATGAAATTATTACAATGTCAATTTTTAAAGGTAAGAGAAGAAGATGAAAAGCAAGACATGGGAGATTAAACCAATGTGGCCCCAATCTTAATTTACACTCAGTAAATAGCCTTGCATTTAATCTCTCTGTGCCCCACTTTGATCTTCTAGAAAGTGAAGACAATAAGCATATCATATATGGTTCTTTAAAAGATTAAATAATCTAAAGTATTTATGGGGCACTTAGGACAGAGTCTGACTTGTACTATTTGCTACATGTGTGTTATTTAATTATTATTAATCAGCTCATTATCCTATAATGCTATATTATGGTGCAGACCAAACTAGACATTTTATTTGTATTATCACTTAAAATATAACAATATATATGAAATGGAAAGCTTACTGAACTTTCACTTTTCACTGTCTTTCTTCTAGTAGAAGGTAGAAGCCCTGAAGCCAGGGACATCATTTTATTTGTTGCTCTATCCTTATAGAACTACTGGCACATAGCTGGAGGTCACAAAGTTTACTGAACCAATGAATGAATAAAAATGGTTACAAGTATTGTTGTGTTTTTTTCTTCTCAAATATCCTGTTGTTAGGCTAGGAAGCTTTAGTGGTTATTGATTAACTTAAGATTATTTTTTAAAAGCAATTTACTTAAATTTCTCAGGTTCAATGTGAGATGGTTCTAATTTCTAAATTTTTGTATGTCAAGGTTTATGTCTGCATTAGTTGTTTGAGCCCTGAAGCATCCTACCCATATTTTATAAACAGTTCAGTTCCCCAAAAAGGCATTAAAGCACGTACACAGGGGCGTGTAAAGGTGATAATACCTGACAATCTTTCTTTCTTAGGTTATATTACATTTCCAGTTCTAGTCTAGGGTACATGAAATATATTTTTCCCTTGGTAGCGGCAGCACCAGTGGCTCCCTCTGGGACCAGGAATTATGTTTAGGGGTCAAGAGAGGACACAAACACTGGTAAAAAAAGAAGTCACTGCATAAGATGTATGTGAGATGTAGGTCTGGGTTGGGTTATCTCCAGCAATCTTAACTGTAGCAAAAAATAGCTGTTACTACACAGATCAGAATATCTCCATGTATACTCCCCCAGCCACTTTATCCAGTGGATAAAATTTTATAAGAATTAAGTTGGAGATGCCCTAAAGTTATAATAAACTATATAAATCATAACAGTAATCATATATTTTATCTTCTAGAATCTTAAGGAGAATAATTAAATAAAATAGTAGTATGTAACAGGTTTGGTGTATTTTTCAAGCTCAGTAACACAAGAAAAATTTAGAACAAATAAAGTAGTTGCATGGTAGAAATGTTATTTTCATGTTTTCTGAATATAAACATACTGAACAAGTTTAAATTCTGCACTTCCCATACAACAGAGAGAAAGAATTCCATTATTATAATCTTAATAAGGAAATATTTCCAAGAAAAATAATTTATTAAGCTTTAAAGTTCTATTAACTATTATGTAATAATTCTTAAAATACATTAATTACTACAATACCCCGAGAGTTTATATTTGATTTTAGCATCAATTTTTTTTTCTTAAGGTCTTAACACTGGTAGAATGTTAGGCCTATGACCTCAGCAGATAGGAATTATAAAAATTACACTTAAAAACTATTTTAAAAACCTGTAAAAATGGGAACCTAAAGAGGCAGCTTTAGAACCATTATCCAAAATAAGGCAATTAATAGATATATTGTATTTGTAAATGAAGTCATGGTAAAAAAGGAAGGGGCAGGACAAATAAATTTCTAAATTAAAGCAATATCCTTAGGAAGGATCAAATCAGGATTAGAGAAAAATGTTAGTATCTCTCTGAAAGGAAAGAAAGGAGTGATATAAAGATACTTCTTACAATGCCCTATCAATGCTCTGATCCAAGGAAAACTTTATCCTCAGCCTCCTCGACTCACATCTTCTGCACCTATATTGTCCAATAGGAAGCCACTAGTCACAGCTCTTTAAAATTTAAATTACAATCAACTGCAAGTTCAGTTCCTCAATTGTACTAACCACATTTCAAGTCTCAAAAACCCTATGTGGGAAATGATAATCATAACAGTGTGAAAAGCATTTCTATCATGACAGAAAAGTCTATTAGACAGCCTTACTCCCAAATATTCAGCCTCGGGCTGGGAAGGTGGCTCAGTGGTAGAGCGCTTGCCTTGCATGCCTGAGGCCCTGTGTTCTATTCCTCAGCACCACATAAGAAAAAAGAAAAAAGCTGGAAGTGGCGCTGTGGCTCAAGTGATAGAGTGCTAGCCTTGAGCCGAAGAGCTGAGGGACAGCGCCCAGACCCAGAGTTCAGGCCCCACGACCAGACCAAAAAAAAAAAAAAAAGCAAATATTCAGCCTCAAAATAAAGACATCTTAAAAATGTTTGAGAAAAGTGAAACAAAGAACAAATGAGTGAAGCAGTACTTTGGGACCATAAAATATTTTAAAAAAGAGATCATACAGGCTTTAAAGTCATATAGAACTGAGTTCAAACTTCAATCTAGGCACTTAATTAGGGGCAAATCTTTAGAAAATCATTCAATTTCCAAGAAGTTACATGGAAGGAACTAACATAATATGAATATAACATTTTGTAAAAGAGGCTTACCAATAGCTACTTCACAGGGTTGTTGAAAGGATTAAAATATGTAACATGAGAAGAAAGTAATATAGCACTTGATAAACAGTAATGTAAAAACATTATTTCCTTAGTTTAGCTGCAAACTGAAGATAATTTTTTGGCCTGATGACAATCTGGTACCAACTAGCAACTACTTTTATTTCAGACTTCATCCTTTTGGTTAAGATAAATATATTAATTACCAGTTTCTTAACTTTGTAAAGACATAAAGACATACTCAAAGCTAGTTACTGGGGGTTCACACCAATAATCCTGGCAACTCAGGAGACTGAGATCTGAGGATTTTGGTTTGACGCCAGCCCAGGTAGACAAACTGAGAATCTTATCTCTGGTTAACTAGCAAAAAGCCATAGTGGAGCTGTGGCTCAAATGATAGAGCACCAGACTTGAGCAAAAAAGCCAGGCTAGAGTACAAGGACCTGAGTTCAAACCCCAGTACCAGCACACACACAAACATACAAAAAGACATGTTCTAACATGATAAATTACTTTAAAAAAAAAAAAGGATAAATATCTGCAATTTTAATGATACAAGTATTAATCTTACCTTGGATGAAATGATCCGATTATCTATAAATTTCTGAGGTGTGTAAAGGCCATTCTGAGGAAACCTGTTGGCTATATAAATAGTTCTTGTGTCACTTTGATGTGGTGGGTCAAAACCCTAAGACCAAATGAAAAGAATAAAATAACAATGGTGAGCAAGTTTAGTTGTCATGATACTTTACTCTTGGTTTTATTTAATTGATTAGATTATATGTATTATTTCTGGCCTTAAGCTGCAGATAAAGTTAATGTAATTGTTAGAAGTGAAATCATTTTTTTGTTTGACTGGTAAATAGGTACATTTACTTCAGATACAAATGAGTTAGGTAATACCTTCAGTAATTAAAAAAACAATTCATACTGTCAGATGTGCTACAAGGAAAAAAATCATGTAGGATATATAAAAGCTTTTTGGGACAAAGCTTGTTTCTACACTGCATTCCTTCTTTCTTTTCACTTCTTGCCTTCTCTTAAAATGGATTTATTGGGTCACATGGACTCTGTATAGCCAGCAGACAATTACTACAACTGATGACACTCAGATCAACTTAGTTTCAAAGAGCATTTATCCCTTGAAGATTTATAATGTGTCACACAATACTGTCCAATTCATGCCACATAATCATTTATTTATGTCAGCTATAGTACAACTGACTTCCTAAAATACTGTCAGGAATGTTACAATATTCCTTGAGGAATACATATTCTCCCTCAAATTCAGAAGACTTTTTCAAAGGTACAGTGGTAATGATCTCTCCTGGAAAAGGTCTGTGATAAGACTACTAGTACATTATTTCTGTAGTATTGTGTTTTCTTTGAGGGTTGTAAGTACGTCTTCAAGACTACTTTAAGGACTTTTGGAACCCTCTCAAATGTAAAATTTTATTTGGTTCTAGCAGGCAAATAATCTGAAATTTTGATTTCCACTTTTTAGAAATGATATTTACCAACTTATTCAATATTTAATTTAGTACTCATAAAGTACAATGATCTTTTAGATATTTCTAAAAAAGTCAATTTAGTAATTCACAAGAACACAATCTGGCTATTTTTAATGTTTTGCACTCCTATAACATTTCCAATAAGCACAGACTTACACAGATCTAGGAATTCCCTTATTTCTAGAAGGAATTTTGTTTTAGTTTCTCAGAATTCTAAATATTCTGTAGCGTGTTCCACTGCTATTCTTGGTTTTAAGTTTTTATTTCATGATAGCAGAAAAAGTAAATATAAAACTATACAAATTAAGTGTACCATAAGTGAATTTATATGTTCCATAAAATACATGATGTTCAACTTTAGTTGCTCATACTATTTCAAATTCTGTTATTTTCAACCTTACTGTTCCAACACTTTGGGCTACTGATAACCACATTTTATAGATGCATGTATTGCATCAGTCTGATTTCAAAATCAGTCTCCTTCAAGGAAAAATATGGTGGTAGGCATATTTTCCTCATAAAATTTAAGCATTTCATCATTGTTTAAATAAGTGAACAAGTAAGTAAATGAACAAATAGTTTGAATGCTATAACTTCATTTCTCAAAGAGGTCCATAGAGCTGGGTCTATAATCTGAACTACTCAGAGGTTGAGATCAGAGGATCATAGTTTAAAGCAGTCTCAGACTTGGCAGAAAAATCAGGGAGATTCTTATTTCTGGTTCACCAGAAGAAGAAAAAAAAAAGCTGGAACTGGATGTGGCTAACATGGTATGATGCTAGCATTGAGTGAAAAAGCCAAGTATGTAAGGTCCTGAGTTTAAGTCCTAGAAAGGGGCTTAAATATAAAGGGGGGGAGGGGCTTCACAGGAAGTTTATCTATAAACAGGTAACTAAAATAGTAACCACTCAAAGCATATTTATCCACTTCAAAATCATGTTACCATATGCCTGCTATACTTGTTCCTATTCTCTTAATGTTTTCAGTAACATTCTCCATTCAGCTCAACTCAACAGATTCAGATGAAAACCTGCCGGAGCTAACTACAATTGATAAACTATACAAGAATATATTATACAGAAATAAATCAAAGGACAATAGCAAATTTGTGAATCTGAAAGAATATATAAATTTTTAGAAAGATATCAAGACATTAATATCAAGATGCATTATACTTATAAATAGGTATGTTGAACTGAAACCCCTTTGTATAATTACTTAAATTAAAAAACAAAACAAAACAACAACAAAAAACAACCAGCCAGGCACTGGTGGCTCACATCTGTAATCCTATCTACTCAAGGAGGCTAAGATCCAAGGATAGTGGTTCAAAGCCAACCTGGGCAGTAAAATCTATCAGACTCCTATCTCCAATTAACCAACAAAAAACTGCAAGTGGACTATGGCTCAAGTAGCAGAGTGCTAGTCCTGATTAAAAATATACAGGGACAGCACCAAGGCCCTTAGTTCAAGTCCCAGGACCAGAAAAAAAAGATAATTTTTAAAAACTCAGAAAAAGATGACAAGGTAAGATTAAGGATTAGATAGAGATTTATTTCTTCTTTTTTTTGCTAAATTCCTACCAAGACTGGAATTTATTATTATATACATCTAATGTTTAGAAAAACTAACAAAGTGCTAAAAATAACAAACAGCAAAAATAACAAAACAGCAAAGAACATCATTCCTCACCGTAAATCACTAGATGACACAAAACACTGATCATAAGCTACAATTTTGGAACTCCTGAGATCTGTACAATTATTTCAAGGTAATATATTGAAATCTTTCCTCCAAAAGTCAATGTTCAATAAAACTGAGTTTTAAAACTTTTAGATTGAAAATCCATATTCCAAGATAACACAATTTAAAGTCACAGTTCCAAAAAATAAGCTTTTTTTCTTATTCCCAAAGATGATCTACTTATTCCCAAAGATATATCCATTTATGCTTTCTGAGACTTATTTCAGTTGTGATTAATTCATATAACCTCATCCAATAATGTCATAATCAATGCCATGTATGGGTATACCTGTTTGTATGTTTCTGTGTACTTCTCACAATCAAAACAGTTAACAAGTTGATATATATGATTATAGCATAACTATCCCTTATGGAAATCAAACCTTTAACTTCAGTTCTTTAGTATCTCTTCAACAAATTAAAATTAGGCGTAAATATCTAAATAAAAATAAAAATAACAAAAGAAACTGACTTGCAGAATTTATGAATGGGTTCCAATTTCTCTAAAGTTATAAGAAAATTTGCATATATACATTTTTCTGATAATGTGCATACAATTAACCAGGTTTTCAAGCCATAAAAGAAGTTTAAAACCTAATTCTTGCTTTGTAGTCAGTTTTTTATCCCCTACTTTCTATATAAAACTGCCTATAGAGTTTTAGCTTCTTTAGCAGGAGTTAAAACATATATTTATTACCAAAATGAATTGTATATATTTTTAATATGAAGCTCAAGTATTGTTTCTTATTATTTCTAGCACATAATATTAGTATTTCCATGGTAGTGGAGAATAAATACAACCAGAATGCTCTGATCACCAAATCAAGGATATATGCCAGGGTTCTGAATCCTTTGGCAAATAATTCATTTTTCTGTTGTCATCCTAGATATTCATTCACATTCTCAATCCCTTGATACATGCCAATTTCTCTCTACTCTGATGTATCTTGTCTTGGAAAAAGGAACTGAGATAGATTAATGCTATTGCAGAGTTTTTATGTCAGGTTGTTGGTGGCTCAAACCTGTAATTGTAGCTACTCAGGAGGCTGAAAATCTGAAGATCATGGTTTAAAGCTAACCCTAGCACAAAAATTCTAGAGACTCTACCTCCAAAACAACTAGCAAAAAGCTGGGCTGGAAATGTAGCTCAAGTGGTAGAGATTCAGCTGAGCAAGCAAGCCATTGAGTTCAAACATTGATACCAGCAAAAATAAATGAAATTAAAAAGTAACGAAATATTTAATAATCTAAGAAGCAGCTGCATATGCTTGTTTAGAATTTAGGAAAGAGCATTAGACTTGAGACTGGCACTCAGTAAGTTTACAGTGAGTGTTACAAGGATATATATGAGATTGCCTACTAAGAATGTAAGGTAAGTGTAAGAGATGGAATTCTCAGGGCCATCATTAAAGTTACATGGGGAAGAAAAGAAATAAAAGAAACATCACCAGAACAGAAGAATTTGGATGGTAGGAACCCAGGAAGAAATTCGAAAAAGATGAGATACAAAAAAAGATGAGAACTAGAGGGGAGAAAATGTACTGAGTTAAAGATTTAGAAAATTGGTAGTTGCTTTTAACAGCACTGTTTTAAGTTGTTAAAGGGGTTGGAGGAGTGTTTCAAGTGATAGACACCTGCCTACTGAAGCTCTGAGTTCAAATTCCAGCGTTGATGAAAAATAAATAAAGTTAGCCTACAGTAGGGGTGAATGGAGGTAGTGAGGAAGGTGAGGAACTTGAAAAGCTGGACCAAGTCAATAATTTTTAGCTTAAGCTAATTATATTTTTAGATGTGTATCATAGATCTGGTAGTAAGGGAAAATGATTAAATGTTGGAAAAGAATAAAATTATTGAAGGATCAAGGAAAAGAAAACATAGAATCAACAAAGTGTAAAGTATTAACTGGAAACATAAAACCTTTTCTCATCAGAAAGGGATTTTTAAAAGCCAGGCACCGGTGGCTCATGCCTGTAATCCTAGCTACTCCGGAGGCTGAGATCTGAGGATCACGGTTCAAAGCCAACCAAAGAGTCTGTGAGACTCTTATCTCCAATAAACCACTTGAAAACCGGAAGTGGCTCTGTGGCTCAAGTAGTAGAGCGCTCACCTTGAGCTGAAGAGCTGAGGGATAGTGCCCAAGCCCAGAGTTCAAGCCCCACAACAGACCAAAAAATAAATAAATAAATTTAAAGATTAAAATGAAGAACATTGAAAGCGTTTACTCTAACATTTTCTATCTTGGCAATAAATCTATGATATAACTTTGTGAATAGTTGATATAGTATGTATGTAGGTTGACAAACTTACTGTCCTATGACTTTGTGGATGTGCTAATATCTCTATGAAGGTTCAAACTGCTACAATCAGATCAACAGTTCCTGTCTAATTAAACTCTGAAACTCACATTCTTGATCTGAGGGTATATGTAGCTAAG